AATATGTGGGTAAGCTATGCATACAAACAGAGATGGGTAGGGGTAATGGTGGTGGTGGTCTAATGGATAGTGAGGTGGGCTGAAGATCGGAAGGTTGTGAGTTCAAATCCTGCCTGGAACACCACCACTAGTGTGCCCTTGAGTAAGGCACTTAGCCCTTAGTTACTCCAGGGAGAATGTCCCTGTAATCGGTAATTGTAAGTCGCTTTGGATAAAAGCGTCAGCTAAATGAAATGTAATGTAATAATGTAATGTTAGTCAAAACAAAACTTATAGTAGCAATTAATACTTTATACATCTCATTCTTAAGTTGTAGAAAAGGACACAACATACATTCATCAACAACTGTCATCTTAAAGTGCAGGGCAAGTGCACAGATTTGAAATAGCTTGTGTGCTTGACGTGGCTGCAAATAATGCAATTTTTTTTATTATGGACTAATCTTCCATATTCAAACATTTGAAAAGCTGGAACCAGAAAGTACTTGAACATTTGATTAAAACTCAAATAATTAAGCTTATTATCAAAATAGCTACCAATTTCTGTCCTTGTGAATCGACTAATCAATTAATAATTTAATGGTTTCAACTCTAATGCTTTGTATTGCTTTCGTGTCATCATGTGCTGGAACTGAGATGTCAGATCAAATAAATTGACAGCATGCAGTGTGAAACAGAAATGCTTGTCCCTTCTGATCAGCATTTACAATATGCTATTGAGGTTCACTACAGATCTGCCTTTTATCAAATCCCGACATGTTTTTTTTTCTCTAAATGACAGCTTAAAACCAAACCCAGAGATATTACTAGCCCAAAGCTCTGAAATGAAGAAAGACACCATCACAGGGCTTCTTTCGCACCAGTCTTCTAGCAAGACATACAAATAGTGATATAAGCTACTACCCCCCCACCATGCATCTGAAACTTTGCACAATTTAAAAGGAAATCAAGGTGATGAGTACAATAACACATTATCAATATCAATTGTCGAATTTGTCAAAAATAATGACAGACACTTTCAAGGAATTTAAGTATTACCATTGATATGCTAATCCAAGTAAAAAAAAAAAAATACAATAACTAATCATTTATTTTTGTATTCTATTGCATTTACCTAGAGTTTGATTTAGACAATGAGTGTTGCTGTGCACTTACTTAATTTCAGTTTTTTTAGTGATCATACACGTGTAGCTATATCAATGCAACCACTTGGAAAAATTAAGAGGAATGGGAAACAAACGAATGTGCTGCATTCTCAAACAAACTGCAAATCAAAGTATCATATCCATCACAACCACTAACAAGAAGACGTGCTTTTTTTTATGACTAAATAACATATGTATAACATTTGAACATCAGCTGCTAAAACAATACACTGTGTATATGCATAAGAGTATGTGATGGTATGTCAGCTGAAGGCTTGCTTTGGTTTAACGCATCTGCATGAATCTATTACAAGCTACAGCGGACATGAAGAAGGCAACTGGAGCGCTGTTAATGCCGATAGAGAAACAATGATAGTTCAACCTATTCCTGTCAAACGGCAGATGTGCATACGGATAACGGACGTGACATGGATAAATAACAATACCTGGAATACCTACAGTCAACTTTGAAGGGATTGTTCTGTTTTCGCCTGGACATATTATATATTGTAAAAACCCTGGAATCTCCTCCTAACCCCGCACGGTTTCCCTGAGACCGGTCCAGGTGTTTTCCGCACTGAGGGGACAGATGAGGAACGAAATACTAATAAATAAATAAAAAAACGTGATCAATTCCTCTACTCGATCAGCGGACCATTTTACGGAGTTAAAAACCAAAAACCGGATACATGAAAGAGTCACATTCTTGCGGCCGGTAAAATATAAATCCCCGTCTCCGGTCGATCAGTGTTTTTTAAAAGATGTCCAAGCCCGAACAGAGAGACACCGAGCGGACCCGAGCCGCTGGACTCACTGCAGCGACGCTCAGCTGATCTCTAGCAGCGAAGACACACCGAACAGGATTGTGGGATATGAAGAGACGATGAGGAGTTCATGCTAAAGATACTGTGGTGCGTTCAGGTTGTGTGGGAGAAGAAAAAAAAACGACGGTGGTGAGAAACTACAAACAATTACCACATACTACCTCAATCGTATAAAATGTGGACTTCAATTTGAAAACACAAAACAGAATGAGTAATTTGATTATTTTAAATGACCACTGATGTGATGTGCCTTTTTCTGATATCTTTGAAAGAATTGAAAAATTGTTAAATGAAGTAGAAAAAAAACAAACATTTTGCCACAATTTTATTTATTTTTACAGTAAAGAGAAATCTTAAAATTAATCTGATTGCTTTTCTTTCAAATTACAGATATTCGGGGGTGACCACGTGACCACATATTTCAGTGTCTAAATTAATCTAAATTAGTCCCAAATGAAAGTAGTCTATTTTGGACATTTGCATTAGCTGCAAGTAGATGTATAACAAATAGGATAGTAGTTAGTGTCCCTTTTTGCCAAACTACTTTTATAAATAAGAAATTAACATTCATACTTTGCTTTTACAAGTCTCAAAAGTGCTAAATCCTAAACCCATAACAGCTAATGAGCTTGCAGTGTCAGCGGATTCATCTTCATGACAACCAGGCACAGAACGCAACAGGAAGCAGTATCCTGTCATAGTTTTAAATAAACATTAAAAAAGAAAAAAGCAGATGTTTTGTGTTACACAAATGTATCAAATAAAGCTCTACCAACATGCACCAACAATATATCTGATGACAAATAATAGACTTAAATTTGTTTCAACTATACGCATCACACAAAGATGTTTGATAATGATCCGTTAACTTGGTCATGATGATTGTGATCAAATTGTAGGCAGGACATTTTACACTTGAAAATCGAACTTGTCAGTGCTCTCTGGTGGACAAATAGCCCAAAGACGACACTGCCTCTATATGACCACAAAGATATCTCTGGTATTTCTGAACTGCAACATTTTGTCCCTTATCATCTAAAATATACATATACCGACTGTGTCTTATCGGCAGATAATGAAGGTTATGGTTTGAATAAGTCTGGACCCTTTCAGCAATATTTTCAAGATTGACACAGCAAAGTTATGTGCCTAACTTTGTATTCCTACTGTATTATAAAGGCGCCTAGAGTGAAATAACGCTGATAGGCGTGTTGTTTGTTCACTCAGATGATAAGCCTATGGGCTGGCTATTCAAAAATATAAAAAAAGTGACTTAATGGGTGCGTACACCTGTATAAACATAGTGTGTTTAATGAAGTGTTGATTAATACACTCTAAAGTCTGCAGGTAGGACTGACAATAGTGCTGTGCAAAATGAGGCTTAACAAAATATAGCATTTATTCAAGAAGAAGGCCAAATTGAATGAACGCATTGCACATGAAAATTGGCATCACATTTTTAAACAAACTATTATCATTTAATGGGGTAATTACCAACTCTGACCTCCTAACCAGCAGGAACTATGTTCTCGGACAGTTATATGACAGCAGGGATGTGAATACATGAAAAAAAGGCTCAACCAAAGTCTTCACATGATATCCCAATCACTGCTATTGATCTTAGAATCATAACAAGGACTCATATCCTTTTTTTAAACCAATGCTTATGGTAAAAGCCTTTTGATTATCGCTGTTGTTGATTCATCATTGATTATAGCTAACTGTTAAGTTACTCCCATTCAATTTTGTGACATTTGATCCCAATTCATCTAAAAACAGACCCAATTTGACAATATGTGATCCTTAGTACTCCATACAAGTGTAGTTTAGCGATACTTTACTTCTTACAATCTTACATTGTGTTTATTTGACAGATAGTCCACAAATGTGTATCTTTCAATGTCCATATGTATATATTTTACTTTTTAGTTCTGTTGTAATGTTTATATTTTATATGTATGTTTGTTTTCTACTCTTTTTCATTTTCACATTATGTGCAATGCTTTGTTTAAATGCTGCTATGATTGAAACATTTCCCAAATTGGGATCAATAAAGTAAATCAAATCTTATTTTATCTTAATAATCTACTACTACTACTTCCATTCCACTAGGTTTCAGAGAGAAATACTGCACTTTTTAAAACAACAACACAAATTAATGAGTCGCATGCATTGCATTGTTATACAGCTAATATAACCACCTAGCAGTATACAAAACAATGTAATTAGCACTATTTCAACTCTCTACAAAATGCATGTTACTGCATCAATAGTAACAATCCACTATTACAACATATATTCGTGGTATTAGTGCTTTTACTTAATAACAGTTCTTAACACTTCTCCAACCACTAAACAAACTATACAGTACATCAAGCCCAACCTACGATGCACTTCCTTAGACAGCACATTACCACTAGGTGGCGCTCCAAACCATGGACTGCTAATGTCATAACATTTCATGTGTTCGTCATCACTGACTGCCACGAGTAAACGGACCGCAGCACGACATTGACAGGGTAAAAATGTATTCTTCCGCAGGGTTAAGAGAAAATACTGCCATCTCAACAAAATAATCTCATCTTGTCATTTTTTTTCAATGTTAGCGACAGACAGCATGCGGTTGAGCTCAGATTTAAAGCCACGTTACACACGATTAGTAGAATTAATAGAGAGCCAATAGGCTTATAAGATCAATTAGATAACATTAGCTAGCTAGCTAAAGATAACAAGCCGCACGTTAGCCTTTTATAGTCAGTGGCGAGAACAAGCTTACTAGCAAGACAACGACAAGCAAATTATCACCAGCATTAACAGCAATTTAGATACATCTCTTATCATGAATACATAATTCAACTATTACCCATGGTGTCCAGTGAGCACTGGCATATCAGATGTATCTTGCAGAGACTGGAGAAGTCCTCATCTACAAGCTATCGTTACTGTACGGGGATGATACACTCTGTCCGCGCTTCTTTCTCCAACCTCTGGGATATGTCAGTGTAACCCTCCGCCTGCGGTAGATGTGCTGAGGCTGGAGTAGCCACCATTTTGCATGTCTAGTGTGTTCCTCCCTCCATTGCTAATAGAGACGATTCCAGCTATTTTCTGGCATCATTACGGCTAGTGAGTATGTTCTAATAATAATTTATCGGCAGGAATGTATGAAAATGTCTTTACGTGTGAATAACTGTCAGGGGTTTGCTTGTATCTACGTTGACAACTCTCACTGTGTCGCTGCATAGGAAGTCGCAGCCCTCAGTACACCGGGGTTGTGCCTGTCAGCGGCTAACTTAGCTAGCATGCTTAAAGTCTCATAGCCGTGCTAACTACCTGCTGGGCTAGGGATGTGGAGCTCAATAGCCATTTACGTGGAGTGGCTTTCCACCAAGTCATAATCATCGTGACAACATGTTATGCCAACTCTAAGTTTCATATTTATATAGAGAACCACCTAGAAGGTTCCTTACAATGTGCCATGTAGTTTAGACAATATTCGGACTAGGTAACAGGGAAGCAAACGAGTCGTCAGGTAGCTAGCTAACGCCACCGTGGAGGCGCTAGCCTGATAATCCAAATGCTCCAAGAAGGCCTAAAACTGCATCATGTCCTGATCAATCGTCGGCCAGATGCAGGTGTCATGCCCAGCCTGTAAATGGCCTATCGTTTTAGTTCGACAATTTGTGCTAATGCTGTTAATATAAACTTTAATTTTACAAAATCATGTCAGCCAAGGTGAAGCTACTGCTGTGGTGTCAACCTGATATGCTGCTCTTTCATTGAAAAATACCAATGGTAGCTTGTTGTTAGCAGACTTTTGGCAGGTGTAATTTGTATCCGCAAAAGTGGCAATACACACTGTACGTTTTCCTTAAATGTTTGTAATTGTATTAGGCGTTTCTAACCTTTGACCATTTTGTAAACATTTCACCAATAATGTGACGTTTCATTTACATTTCCATGAAGCTAACGATAGTTAGCTTAGCATGTTAAGGACGTGGACTCCTTTTTACTCTAGTTTCACAAGTTTGCTTCTTGATGTCGACAACGTATTTCTTGAACACAGTAACATTAAGATAACACACATTTTAATATTTCCTATACGTCATCTTAGGAAGACTATTTTCATTGAAAGCAATGTGTGGGTTAACGGTAAGGAAGTCAGCTGTAAGTAGGAAGTTATCAAATGAGCATGACGTACAGTTTGGGTGATACCTTTTACTTTTCTGTCACATCCCTTTATGATATCTGTAGAAGAAGGAAAAAAGTGCCGTTAAATAGAAACTAGCTCCATGTTATGAACAAACTGTTTTACAGGAAACCGGTGTCTAATATAAAACTGGTGAAGAAAAAGCCAGGATTGAACAGAATCCAAATGTGTCCTTTGTGATGTTTAATAAGTCAGTGTAATAAAATGACGACTGCCTGAAACAAGACAGCAACGACTTTAATTAAAACATAACCTTTTACTCTGCCAACAGCCATGTGGTGAGTAACTTTTTGGCAAAATAAGTACCCGAGCAGGTGCATGAAGTGGAGCTTTATTCAACAGCAGTTATGAAGTATTACCACGGTGTTTACAAATCAGACTTTCGTACACTGACTGAATGGAAAATAGCTCCTGCGTTAAAATATATATTCTCTTGACATCAGAAGAGTTCTTTGCACTTTCTGGTTAACACATTACTCGATACAGATACTTCTTCTATTCTTTACTCCCATATAGTAACAGCAGATCCACAAAATCAGTGAAGTCGAAAGTAATGCAGGAGGTAGCATTAGTAGTGGTTTTGCAGCATTAGATTTTATATCTTTACAAGCCTTGTCAGGTTGCTAGTTTGCAACCTAACTGCAAATAAATGACTATTGGTATATGTTAACTGAGCCTCTACAGCAACTGCTTAGTAGAGTAGCGAAATGATGCCTCTGGTTAAAGACTTGAAGCCTCGTTTGCACACATTCATTTGAATTCCATGATGATCCTGTTGGTTGAGCTACTGCAGTGCCTCTCCCGGTTTAGTTATTCATTCTCATGTTTACCAAATAGGCCTAGTTAATATTAAGCTCAGACTCTCGACTGTTTCTACTGACTTGTGTTTTTGACAGAATTGTAATGTATATGTCGTAGTGGACTTCAGTAGGAGGAAGGTGAGAGGGCTGCAAACAGTGTTGTATACAAGCTTACTAACATTTGCACATCAGTGTAAACATCAGACTCTGTTTTGGTGGGTGACAGAAAATGTTTACATGTGACACATGGGCCATAATATTTTGACTATCGAATACACTTCTTATTCTCCACAAAGGCACAGGACACAATGTTTGACTGTGCACATTGTTGTTCTCTGAACAGATAATCACTTATAGTTTGTGTTATGATAAGTAATAGAGTTGTCTCCTTTGATAGTATTTTATTTGCATCATAGTTGGGCACAGCGCGAGAATAAATAACAATACATTTTATTTTTAGGCGCCTTTCATGACACCCAAGGACACCGTACAATTTGTTAAAAAAAAGAAAACGCTAATAGGCAACAGAACATGATAAAAACACAAACAGGAAATCATGGAGGAGACAATCAAGTGGACACAAATGAAACATATAATGGGGAGCACTACAGTGAGAAAGAGACAAAGTACATTTTTCAACAGCTTGGCAAATTGAGTGGGGAAAAGCCTTTCCCCAGTGGTGGCTCTGTATTTTCTTCATGTTTGATCTGTCTGATGATCTTTTAGTATAGCTTAACTATGCAACTCTCCCAACAAAAAGGGTTGTAGTGGATATTGATTGAATCTGTGCTTTCCCTTTCAAGGCCTCATGGTGTGTTCAATGATCTAATGTAAAACTGTGTTCCATTATTTAATGCTTCTACTGGTAGGATGTCTCAGACTGCAGGTTGATTGCTCCCTGTGGAACAAGAGAGGTGTGGCATGCTTTTTGTTTGTTGCTGGTTGTCAGGCTGTGAAAAGCTAATCTGGGCTGGCTCCCCCACTCTCATGAGAGTAAAAGCTTGTTGTGAACATTTCACAGAAAATGAAAAGTACACCCGTAAAAGCAAGAGGTGTTGATGAACGATAGCATTAGTAAGGTTGTTGGTTTAAAGACATTTAAAGCTCTTGGGTGAATAGACATAGGATGCCTTGCTTAAAATACCTAGAATCCTATTGTGTTTTTTTCATTAACCTTTTGGCGCAGGGGGTGGACCTGCATCTTTTGTCCTTGTCACACAGGCCAGATATCTGCAGGTACACTGTTTGTGAACACCACCTAAATCTGTGATATGGCTTCACAGCAGCACAGTTGCCTTTGTGTCTGTCTTTGACTAAATCTGACCTTGGTGAGTGAACCTGAGGAGCTATAGCTGCCCAAATACTGAGTCTTTAATCCACCTCAATGTGCTCAATCCCTCCTAATTGTTTTCTTTCAAACTAATTGCGCTGTTCCATTTTCAAGAAATGGTGATGATATGAATAAAAATGGTAATTATTTATAATAAGAATTACTGAATGTACTGCAAGAAAGAGGTATTGTAATTTCTTCAGCTCTCAGCAGAGGCTGGATTTACCTTCTTTAACCTGTACTCATTTGATTATAAGCACAGCATGAGGAAGGAGTCATTATTTATGGGGCCCAACACTAGGCCCTTTCAGCTCAGGTAATTTAAATGGTGTTAAGACGGAGAGTAGATCCTTGACTTTATGAAAGTGTGGCCTTTCCTGACCACCCACCCCATTCCTCTTTGATCACAGTGAGTTCTTAGATTCTCTACAAACCACCACCTCATGTAACAAAAGATGCTCTCATTCCCGATTATGTCTGGATCCTTATTTCCCTTAGTGAACTGGCATAGTTACACATTTTTCATTTAATCTCAGCAGCGAGAGTTAATGTAAATACAAAGGTAAAGTGATTTTTTTCTAATGCAGATAAAACTGTTGTAATCTCCCATATTATACAAGTCTTTAAAGAGGCAGGGACACGTATTTCTGAGACACATTTAAAGTTAATGTCTGGTCGATTTAAAGCAACATTTTTCACAGTATCCTTAATCTATACATGCTCAAGTGATTTCTTTTTTTTGAGTTGGTGTCAGCTGGGAACAGGTGCTGGTGTTGATTTTCCATGTAAAGCTCTCTGGCAACTATCCAGCTCAGGATCTAGTAAGATTTCCATAAGTCTTGCTGCTAGGCGCCGCTCAGAACAATAGCAGCTAGCTTTCTGGATAACACAAATGCTTAATATGAACCAGTGTTATTTATAACTGAAAGAGCCACAACACAAAGATGTATTTAGTGTTAAACTGCCATTTAAGACCTTGGGGGGGAAATCAGCGGGAGTTTATAAAGTGTCTAATCTCACCTTTGAAAGTGTTCCAGGTTTTGTTGTTCAAAAAAGCATTTCCAAAAATGATTGGCACGTTTTTAATCCTGAGGGTTAGAAAAACAAAACAAAATGAATATTAAAAAACCTAACATTGAAAACCAATACCCACCCAACAGCAGAATAACTCATTAGTCAAATGAATGAAGTACTGCAAGACAGTCTTCATGATTTTAGAGACAAAATGTACCTCTTTTATAAGTGACCATCATTCATGAAAGTTGGATTAGAATTGAAAAATCAAGCACGAGGGATAGAAAAAATCCAAAGCGGATCTAAATAAGTGTTCTTCCTTCTCCACTGGGAGTTTGAAGATATCGATATCATCATATAAACCACAGATTTATAATATTCTGTATCAGTATTCCAAATGTTTTATGCATATCCTGCCTCTTAGTTTCTTGTCTTGGTAGGCTACTTAAGAATTGCTGATATACTCCCTTTTATAGAAAAACCGGCACGCCCTGCGCCATCAGAGAGTTTGTTTAACTTCAATTCTGTGACACGAGTTTCTTAGATATTACTTGGTAAAACAGCATTGTAACAGGACAGCTTTCAGTCATGTGATCACCTTGACTATGAGGCCTGTTTTAAAGAAGTATGCTCAGTGAATATTGGATCTATTTTTTTTTTTTTTTAAATGGTAATTTTTGGGTGTTGGTCCATATACTGTAAACACGATATAATTTATTCTCACAACTGAGCATGTACATATAAATATTTAACGCTCCTCCTGTGGCCTAAGGCTTGTGTGCTCTCAGAAGTTTTCCACGAGGGAATGTAATTTCAGCTGCCACTCGCCTTTCCTCTGCACTTTGAATACTATTTAGAATTTCAGCTCTAAAAGGAATAGTTATGTTTGCCTCCAATAACAAATGCTAATCAAATCGTTTGCTTTTGGTGTTTTTAGGAGTTGGGTTGTTTTCCAAAGGACACTTCGATTTTTTTATTTTAACTTGGAACAGTCTACATGCACACATAAGAAATACTGAATTTGGGATAAATCTGGATTCTGCTGTTAACCAGATACTGTGTATATTTACATCCACAGCAACCACTTAATGACCGTGACATTTACAATTGGTCCGCAATCAAAAAGATAGTAATTTTCCCTGTTTGTGTAGCTTATCCGTTTTGTTGTGGTTTAGTGCCAACCCTAATGCAATGTGCCAACCTGTATCTTGTTGTTTCCCAGAGAATGCCAGCTCCGATCAGACTGCGGGAGCTGATCCGGACTATCCGGACAGCAAGGACCCAGGCAGAGGAGCGCGAGATGATCCAGAAAGAGTGCGCTGCTATCCGCTCGTCCTTCAGAGAGGAAGACAATACATACCGTTGCAGAAATGTGGCAAAGCTACTTTATATGCACATGTTGGGCTACCCGGCACACTTTGGGCAGGTATGTTGACTGATGGAACGAGGATGACTGGGCGATGGGCAAACATTAATGGAGGAAGCTTATTCCTGTGGAATGTGTTGTAACATGATGACTTGATTTCCAGCTGGAGTGCCTGAAGCTGATCGCGTCCCAGAAGTTCACCGACAAACGAATAGGTTATTTGGGAGCTATGCTGCTGTTGGACGAGAGGCAGGATGTCCACCTACTAATGACAAATTGCATTAAGAAGTAAGTGAAGTAAATATATTTTAATATTTTGCTCCTAAACATGTTTTTTAGCAATGCAAAAGTAATTTGAGATACAATTCATAACCTGTGTTTTAAATCATAAGGTGAATGCAATTTACAAACCCCACAATCCTCCTTACCGGCTGCTGGACCCGTCATAAACAATAATCTTTTTATCTTTATTTCTTTGTGTCCATGGCTCATTTATCATCTCTTCTCTCCACACAGTGACTTGAATCACAGCACACAATACGTCCAGGGCCTGGCTCTGTGCACTTTGGGCTGCATGGGTTCCTCAGAAATGTGTCGCGATCTGGCCGGGGAGGTAGAGAAGCTGCTCAAAACATCCAACTCGTACTTGAGGAAAAAAGTAAGCGTCATTGTTGGCATGTGTGTATGAATACTTAAACTGTTAAACTCTGTGGTCCACTATTCTACAATAACTGTGTGGACATGTATGCTAAAAAGAGTGAAACCGTGTGTCCCATGTTTGCCTTTTTCCTCATTGAGTGTCTTGTGTCTAAATATTTGTTCCCAGGCGGCGTTGTGTGCGGTTCACGTCATCAGGAAGGTTCCAGAACTGATGGAAATGTTCCTTCCAGCCACAAAAAACCTGCTGAGCGAGAAAAACCATGGTAAGTGTGAACGGTTTGTCAGGATGCAGTTTCTGGCCAGTGAGGAAATGTGCCTGTCCGACAGGAATACAGACGCTGTCCTTTTCCCTGCCACTCACTCAAGGTGCTTTGCTCAGGACACCTGGACAGCTCATGTCCTTTCTGTGGTGTCCTTTGCAGAGGAGAGGGGGATTAATGAGTCTGTCATACACTCTGGGGCTGATGTGTACCCCACTTAGGGAAGAGATTCAGTACAGTATGTCACAGGAAAATGTCTTTTGTAATGGTACTGAAATCACTTCTTTGACATCGTGTGGCAATGCAGTAGATTTCTTTAGAAGCATTTCTTTAGCTTATTGTGTAGATCAATCGTGTCTCTACTTCACATGCAGGATGGTGTGACATGGCCATGAGATACACACATGTACCAAGCTAAATTGCCAAATACAAACTGATAATCCATCAAAATGTTGGATTTGTAAAGATGTATATTTCAACTAGACCACGTATCATACGTTTATATAATGTGCATTCACTTTTATACTAAAACACAAACCAATGATGTGGATTACATTTAGAAATAAATAACAGAATTTTCTACTTAGAAAATGTCAAACAGCCGCTATGAGTTTAAAACATATTTATGAGTGGGATCTGTGGCTTCAGAGCTGATGATGAGTTTTCAACCTTGTAACATTCAGATCAGGTCACTGGCAAATGATGTGTGTGCCTGTGTGAGATATTTAAGATTTATGGTGCTGCCACCTGATGTCCCCGGCGGTTAATCATATGTATGCTAGTACATCATACTTTTTGACATCTTGGCTGCTGTGCAATTTGTTAGCATGGATCTTGATACACGAAAAAAAAAGCCTGGTACATGATTTGTAATGTGTGGAAGTCAAATCTTAATCGCAGCATGGCAGATTACCTCTTGACTGATATGGGCACACAGTACGTAGACGTTGTTTAAGACGGACTATATTGTTGTCATCACGCCTGTGTTCAGACCGATAAAAGCACTGAGTGGCAGTACTGGAGCATGCTCACTCATTTCAATGAGAACACTGCATTGACTCAGCAGGGTTGCCAAGGCGGAGGGCTCCTGCAACAAAGTTGAACCTGGCCAAAGTTTTGTCACAACACATCAACTAGAAACTTATACACCTTCCAACTACTTCTACTTCTCTCACAACTAACTTCTAAAGCTGGCCCTATCGTATCATTTTTGTTTCTTATTGACCTAACACTGTGGCACCCACCAACATGATCCCTTGGGTTTTTATGTTGGAATACCCAGAAGAAAATGGGTGATGTTTAACATGTTTTTCTAACTCTGTCTATTCCCCAGGTGTTCTCCATACATCAGTTGTCCTCCTGACTGAGATGTGTGAAAGAAGTCCTGACATGCTGTCCCACTTCAGAAAGGTATTAACAGATGATCTTACCCAACGGATAACAGACTAGAAATGTATGCATTCGTCTTAAGCTCACGTCACATTTCATTCTCCTTTTGCGCACGCACACATTTCCTTTTGGTCTAGCTAAGCTTAATAAGAAACATGTTAAACTTGTGAGGCTTGGTTCGCGCTCCAGGTTTTTTTCTCTACATTCAAAGTATGTCTCAATCTTTGATCTCCTACCACTGTCTTTTCCTCTTGTATCTCAACTGCTGCTGTCCCCTTTCCTCCTCTAGGTGTAAAACTGTGCCAGAAGCACCACCCCTCATGCTCATGATCTTAACATTATTTTAAGCTCTCTGAAAGTGAATGATTTCCAGTTTCCCCTCCCTAACATCTACCTCATATTTTTTCTGTCATTTGTCTTTGTTACAATTCCTGCATTGTGTTAGAATGAGAAGGTAAGAGTACATTCTGATCTCATAGCTGGTGCATGCTGTGAATAGTAATCACCCCTCACACTCAGACGTAACCTAATTTGTGTTGAGTAATTTCATGTTGTGTTTTAATTTATAATTTGAATTTCCAATTTGTAAAGTGATCATTATACTATGTCAGTGTTTTGAATATTATAAAATAATCTTATGGTCCATTTGTCGGATACATTTCCCACTATTATTTTCAGTGTCATTTGAACCTAATATGCAACTCATTTGATCACTGTTTTGAAAGCAATTGGGTGGTGTGTTTTCACATGATTGCCACAGGTGTTTTCACCAGAAACAGATGATTTCCACTGTATCTGTGTCACTGTTAGAGTATAGCCTATTTGTCGTGTCAGAAAATGTCTTTAAGTCACCACTTTGGCATTTTGGGTTGCTTGTTTGTCGTCTTACTCACACTAGAGGATGAAATATATTATCATTAGTGTTCCAAAATAATCCAGTCGAGAAAGTTTTGTCACAAGAAGCATAATATTCAGATTTAAAGCTTAATAAACCAGCAATCTGTTTCCCATAGCGCTTTTCTTAAGTTGCATTTTGAAATCCTTTTACAAAGGGCAGAACATAAAACTGACGGGATGTTTTCTATATAATTTAGTTTTTGTCTGCATTGAATCAAAATCTAGTTTTAAATATACCTTTGTTTACTAATGGCGCATTTCCACTACAGCGCGGAGCGTGCCGTGCCGGGCCCGTTTTTGGTTGCGTTTCCACTAGGCGTAGTTCCGGCTAGCGGGTACTTTTTCACAGTTTTCTGGCTCTCCAAAATCGAGGTTCTTCCCGGGCCAACAACCGGGCTGAGTATGCTAAACTAGAGAGAGAATCGCTGGCAACTACAACAAAATGAACATATTTGACCGTGATTTAATTGTAATGCACGTTTCAAAATGATGCCGAAGTAACAACATACTGATACCGGTTAGTAAAAACCATGAATTAATGCTTTGACAAGTCTGCAGACAGACGGCAGGCGAAAAACCTTTTAAAATGCGTGTTTTCTAAATGGAGATCGGCTAAGCTAATGCAGTATATGCCCCGACCGTCCACACTCACAACAACGGCCTATACAGACATAAATAAACCAGCGACTGTATTCGCCATGACACAGGCAGTCTGTGGTTTGTACTTGTTTAACTTTTGTCTAGTTTCTGAACAGATATTAGGAGCTGTGAGCTCTGAGGGCTAACAGCTAACAGCTGATGTTGGTTTTGTGTTTCGCATTGAAGATGACGTCACGGCTCCGCCTACACTGCGTTACTATAGTTACTACCCCAGTTCCTAAACTGTAATGGAAACGCAGCATAAAGTGAGCCTGGCCTACCAAGGCCTAACTATACCGTACTAAGCCGTGCGAGGCCCTGCAGTGGAAATGCGCCATAAGAGACTTGAAATCTTCTAACCTATTTGTTTTTACTATGAATGTTTTGATTTAATAACCTCAAACATGTGGCTATTAAATCACCTAACCTTGACTTGTAGAGATACAAAAAAAATGTAGACTCAACATTATTATTCTACCTAAAAAGGCAAACATTTTAAACCCTTTGCTCTACATATGACTGGCTGCCGCTATCAATCACAAACTAATCACTTTAAAAGTTAATTAAGACAATGTTATATGTTGAAAAGAAAAAAATCTGATCGACTTTTTTAAAAACTACTGTGATACCTTTCCTTTCTGTTGTCTTTTGTAGCTGGTTCCACAGTTGGTGAGAATCCTGAAGAACCTCATCATGTCGGGATACTCTCCTGAGCATGATGTGTCAGGAATAAGCGACCCTTTCCTGCAGGTAAACCTTTCTTTCTTCAGACAAGTACCCTGAGCTGTAGACTGTTGGATTGGCTTGATGCTTGTGCCATACCATGAGCAACCATGATCAGAACTTGTGATAAGGCCTCCCTCAGAAGTATCAGAGTAAATGAAAGGAATGTTTTAATCTGTTTTATCATCGAAAGTGCTAAAAATGTCCTTATATTGGTGGGGATACATTTTTAATAAACAGGGATTTAGCAGTTTATTGAATTGTATAATCGCACACCTACATTTTAAACAGGCGAGTTGTGCTTGTGAGACCAGAATATACCTTTTGGGGGATCAATAAAGTGAATTACATTTGGCAATTGAACTGACAGGATTGTACTGTTTTTTTCCCCCTTAGGTGCGGATATTGAGACTACTGCGGATTTTAGGCAAGGGTGATGATGACTCCAGTGAAGCAATGAATGACATTCTTGCACAGGTTAGGATTACACATCATCTGTTTTGGGCCAAAAGCTTCCTAGAGAGAGTGTTCTCTTGACAATGTGTGGTGTTTGTATTGACAGGTTGCAACGAACACAGAGACGAGTAAAAATGTAGGCAATGCGATTCTCTACGAGACTGTACTGACCATAATGGACATCAAGTCGGAAAGTGGACTGAGGGTGAGTGAAATTCATATAAAGGAAAGCTTCAAATGAGCATAAAATAGACTTTTCTTTTGCCTAAATGCCTTTTGTCTTCCAGGTCTTGGCCATTAACATACTTGGTCGCTTCCTTCTTAACAATGACAAAAATATAAGGTAATTCATGTGCTTTCAGAAGCTGACCTTGTACATCGAGTCCTCCAAAAAGCCTTTATTCACTCCGGTTACATTTTAATGATATTGTCCTTCCAGATACGTGGCATTGACATCTCTATTAAAGACGGTACAGACGGACCACAATGCAGTGCAGAGGCATCGGAGCACCATTGTGGATTGTTTAAAAGACCTGGATGTATCCATCAAGAGGTGAGTCTCAAGTCCACCCATTACTTCATTTACAATTCCATTTGTATTCATATTTAGCCTTGTTGTTTCTGACCTTTGTCTACTTTTCATTGTTGTGTAGACGTGCAATGGAGCTGAGCTTTGCTCTGGTGAACGGGAACAACATCAGGGGCATGATGAAGGAGCTGCTCTACTTCCTGGACTCCTGTGACCCGGAATTCAAAGCAGACTGCGCATCAGGAGTCTTTCTAGCTGCAGAGAAGTACGGACACTGACACAGTGGGTGTTTCTCAATCGCGAGTAAAGCTGCTTCAGAGCCACTATTTCAAGCATACTACGTCATCGAGTGCCGCCGAAGTACTGTTCCAATCTCCAACATACTTGGAAATCTACCGAGCCCGGCGTACTCCGTTTGGAGAAATATCGATTCTGCACATGAGTAGACTCCGCGGTCTTAAAATCCCCACAATGCTTTGCGCACGGACCAATTTCCCCAAATCTGTGGCGGAAGATGTAAGGCGGGGCCTCTCATATGACGCACACCTGCACACTTGCTAGCGTGTTCCACACTTCGTTTTCCGAATGCCAGGAAGTATTCTTGACTCGCTTCTGAAGCAAGATGCTCGGCAGACATGTGCTACCAAGCAAGCGTACTCGTGATTGAGAAACACCCACAGACTTCACCACACAAACCTGTGCTCAGCTGCTTTGTCATAATTGGGTTCACATCCATTGTGACCTTGGCTGCAGTCGTAGAATGAAAACAAATCGTATGTCTCTCGTACATTGATTGAAATAGACATCGTCAAGGGCCAAGAAAAGATGCGATGCTGAATGATGATAAAATGAGTGATCCATCGTCTGACAGACCATGATGATACCATTTATTTTTTTCTGACAGCTTTTGTCTCCTGTCTGTAGAGAGTTTTGATAATTTAGCATGTTCAGGATTATTCTTCAGTGCTTTGCTGGGACTAATTATGGTTTAATTTGTGTTACAGGTATGCCCCTTCGAAAAGATGGCACATAGACACCATTATGAGAGTCCTGACAACAGTACGTATTACACACACACTTTAATGCCTTTGATTGTTGTTTGTAATTTGATTCTCAGCATGGATAATAATAATAAGTATTACCTTGAGTACCTCATAAAAACTGGTATTAGACATCTTTTAGCATTGTTCATCACGACATTTGTGGTAACCCTTACAGGCAGGGAGCTACGTGCGAGACGATTCTGTTCCCAACCTCATCCAGCTCATCACCAACAGCGTGGAGATGCATGCCTACACAGTGCAGAGACTCTACAAAGCACTGCTGGACGACATCTCACAGGTCAGTGCATCTTTGTTTGGGTTATGATTAGATTTGGTTACATCTCTGTCTTTGATTCATACAGACACACTAGCTTAAGAGCGCAGCAGAGTGTAATCATGTTTCTGTGTGTTCTGTAGCAACCTCTGGTGCAGGTGGCGTCTTGGTGCATAGGGGAGTACGGAGACCTGCTCGTGTCCGGACAGTGTGAGGAGGAGGAGCCCATCCAGGTACACGAGAGAGAGAATCCTGGTCTAACACGTACACACACACACACACACACACACACATGGACTAGGATATTTAACCAATGTTGTGATATGAGACTAGATATTGTGTACGATTTTCAATATCTTAAGTGTCATACTTTCCTGCATTATAGTAAAGTGATTTCATTTACCGGACAAAAGTGTGTTTGTTGTACCACAGAGGTGCTAATGCAATAAAATGCTGTATGATGATAAAATGAGTGATCCATCGTCTGATGGACCATGTTGATACCATATATTTTTTCTGACAGCATTTTTCTCCTGACTGTATGGAGTTAAGATAATTATCAACAATATTGTCACAATATTGATTTTGAGGTATTTGGTCAAATATATTGGAATATTTGGATTGCCCAGCCCTCACATAGACACAAAAACACATACGCGCACATATTAAAGACCAAACTATGCAGGAACTTCAAACACTAGGTCACCAGATGTTCCTTTCTTCTCTTCCTTTTGATGAAAGGTGACTGAGGATGAGGTCCTGGATGTGCTGGAAGGCCTCCTGGTGTCCAACCTGTCTACACCTGTGACTCGGGGTTACTCCCTCACCGCCATCATGAAGCTGTCTACTCGCTTCAGCAGTGTTAAGTGAGTAATGGCCTCTTAGACATTTGGGTGCTAAGGTAAAAAAAGTTCACATGCTACTTTTCCCCTTTTCTAACCTTTCACATTTTATTTTTATTTCAGCCGGATCAAGAAGGTGGTCTCAATATATGGCAGTAGCATCGATGTGGAGCTACAGCAGCGAGCTGTGGAGTACAACGCTCTTTTCAAGAAATACGACCACATGAGGTAAAACTGCATTACTACCACATTCTCACAGATCCAATATAGTGCAGTAGATAAGGATTATTCTCCAGTTTTTCTCTCTGCTTACTCTTTGCCTTTTCCCTGACTTCAGGCCAGCTCTCCTCGAGCGAATGCCCATTATGGAGAAAACTGCTACTAATGGCCCCACAGAGATTGTGCAGACAAACGGGGAGACTGAGCCCTCTGTTGTGGAAACGAAACATCTACCACCTGTCACCCAGCCAGCCAATCAGGTGAGGGCAGTTTTAAATACCTTATTTTGGGGAAATATTAAGGACCATACACTTCTTTGTTTGGAATTAACAGAATACTTTAACCACGAGCTGTTTTTGGCAAACAAAAAAAACAAGTAATTTGACAGTAAATCTTTTTAAATGGTTTAGATGAAATTTGAAAATAATGAATGCAAGTCTATTGATAATGATACATTATTTGTTATAGAGTAAACATAGATACTGCAGGTATTTAATGATGTTGACATGTTTGTTTTGTTCTTCAGGCTAATGATTTATTAGACCTGCTGGGTGGTAATGATGTGCCAGTGATCCAGACCACCATGCCCACCAAGCCTGCCTCAGCTGGAGGAGAGCTGCTGGACCTCCTGGGCGACCTCTCACTAAGTGGTAGGATTCTCTGTTTGAGCTTGATGTTGCCCATTTCAGATTAAAGCAAGGACCTGGTATGAATGTGGGTTTGCTACCAGGGTGAATGTGATGTCCAACATGTGCCTGCTCCGTTTCAGCAGTGACTTAGTGCTGACACTGTCTACTTTTGGTATGAAAAAGTGAACCAAAACCCATGTGTGTGGATGTCCCCACTCTCCAGGTGGCCCAACCCCAGCTCCTGCTCCTTCTGTTCCCTCCTCCCAACCCTCTTTCCTCCTGGACGGCCTCACCTCTCAGCCCCTGTTTAATGACATAGCAACTGCAGGTGAGAGTCTGTTACCCCCCTTCCCCATCTGCTCCCAATTAGATGGAAGTCTGTGCTTTTGTCCTTGTGTATAAAATCACTTTTTGTGTGTTTCTTTCCTTGGATTGCCATAAAACGTCCATTGAAATGTTAGATTTTGTATTTCTACATCTCTTGATGGTCTGTTTCTCTGAAATCTCCACACAGCTATTCCTCCGATGACGGCATACAACAAGAACGGCCTAAAAATAGACTTCACATTTGAGAGAGCTAATCCCAATCCAAATGTCGCCGTCATCACCATCCATGCTTCCAACTCGGCAGATGCGGACATGACAGAGTTTGTTTTTCAGGCTGCAGTACCAAAGGTAAGCGGGCACATTGTGACATTGATGTTAAGTGGCTGCATTTAAAAACGCTCAAATGCATAATGGTGAAGTGTAGAATTTACACCAGATTAAGTTGTTTTAAATAAGACACATGAAATTTATAAAACATTCAAAATCATTCTACAAATCCCACATTTGGCAACAGCACCACCCTGAGTCTGTTTGTCTAGAGAGAAAGATCAGCTTGAGATGTGTTTGTTGGTGAGATCTGGCAGCCATGATAGATAATCAGAAACAGTTTATTTCGCTTAATCCTTCCAATTTCATCATTTACATAATTGAATAATTTAAGCTCACCACTTTTGGTCGCTGTCAATCAATGTTTTAATAAGATTTTGGATATCGTTATATCTTAAGTGTCGTCTTTTCCTGCATTACCGTAAAGTGGTTTCATTTTTTCTTAATTTACCGGACAAAATAGTGTTTGTTGTACCACAGTGGACAGAAGGTGCTAATGCAATAAAATGCTGAATGATGATAAAATGAGTGATCCATCGTCTGACAGACCATGTTGATACCATATATTTTTTCTGACAGCATTTGTCTCCTGGCTGTAGAGGGTTTAGATAATTTAGCATGTTCGATATTGAGGTATTTGGTAAAATACATTTTTTTCTTTATATCGCCCAGCCCTCACATAGACACACGTATGCGCACTGTGAGCACCCCTCCTTATGCTCCTGTAAGAGTCCATTTCTCCATGGGTGTCATGATATTTTCATCTAACATAATGTCTCGTATTTGTTTGTCAGACATTCCAGCTGCAGCTCCTCTCCCCTAGCAGTAACGTTGTCCCAGCACTCAACCAGGGAACTGTCACACAGGTCATCAGAGTGCTCAACCCACAGAAGGTGAGTTTGTCCTGCTTTTTAGTTTGGTTCATTTGTTGTCCTTTTGAAGAACATTTAGCATACGTTTAAGACAAGTGCAGTGTCAAATGATTTGCAAGAAATTTTATAAACATGATCCCCCTCACCACATTTCAGCAACAGCTACGAATGCGGATCAAGCTGACGTATACCCTCAAAGGCTCGCCTGTGCAAGACCTGGCTGAGGTTAATAACTTCCCCCCTCAGTCCTGGCAGTGATGAGCTGCTTCTGTTGCCCCTAAAAGCCCCCCACCAAGGGAACTATGAAAAAGATTTTTCTTTCACCTCCCTCCTTTCTTCCGACGGACCCTCCTGTGACGTCACTGCAGTCAGCTGCCCTCCAGTTGCATGGGAAACGGCAGAGCATCTAACACAGGAGAGAGATACAGATGTTACGAAGACCCTATTGACTATTGACATCACCAGATTAATTGGGAAAACATATCAATCACTGAACTTTCTCTTTTTTTCTTTCTTAATTGGTTTCCATGATGTCTTTTGTGTAGTAATACACCCTCCGCCCAAAAGCATTACCACACACAAAAGCACACATGCACACCATTTACTGTGGCACACTTCTCCTCTCAAGTCACTGTAGAGAAAACACGTTGTCCACTTTGAGCACTGCAGTAACCATAGTTTTAATTTATAATTTAGCTCCAATGCAGTTGAAGCATTTTGCTCCATTGGTATTTATGATTGGCTTTCCTTTCAGTATATATGATGGCAGCAGAAAACGCTTTGAAAGGTCTACTTAGTGCAGTTGTAACTCCTCTCCGCACCATCAGTGATATAACTTGTCAGAGAGTTGTATTCATTTTGAATTACATTAATTTGCTTAAAGCATGTTTGAGCATTTGTAGGATCACATCACACCTGACTCGAGCTCGGAGGGGAACTTCAGGTTCTGGTAGTAGGCGTCTTTATCCTATGTTTCTATAGGAAGCAGTCTACATTGGTTTTGTCACAATGATAAGAGCATAAACACATCCAACATGCCCACTTTGATCACCTGCGGCTGGTTTTTCAGAGAACATGCTCCAGTTTTTCCCACACGGCTCTCCTGAAATCATCTCATCTGTAGCTTTTAGTTAAAGATCTGTATAATAAATCCTACGGTTAATTGCTTTGCATAGTTTGGGGAGGTTTATTCATTAGGATGGATTTCATCCAGATCTGAAATGTATCTGAAGATAAGCTGATCGCATTTTGTGTTTAAAATCTGCGTATAAACTTGTCCTGCGTTTGTCTCTTCCGATACATTTCAGATGTGTTTTCTCCTGGTTGAGCTTAGTCACCATGCACATACATGTAAATGAAGCCTGTTATGAATGTAGTTACATGCACTGAATGCTTTTCCCCCCCTCATGTCTTCTTTCTCATGGCTGTCTTCTTTAGGGATGTTCATCTTAATGGCACTATTTTTGTGAAGTATGTTTTATTTCTGCAGTAATTTGACTTAATTATTTATGCCTGATATCAAAGTGATGTGCCTTTCTGACTTGGCTAGATAAAAGCCCCTGAACTATTGAGTTCTGTATGAGCTTCGTTTGTAAGTCCGCTTGTGCGCTGATCGTGTTTTCGATCTGAGGGAAATGGTCTTGATGATTTTGATTTTGAATCACCTCATATAATAAGTTAAACCTTTTCACTTCTTTGTCTCATAATTAGGTTATAATCAGTCACCAACTTATATTGGACTACCTTGATGTCTATTTGTCAAAAAAACGTAATTATAGCTACACAATCTTGATTGCTATACTGTGGCAGACTTTCCATTAGAAATGCCTGTTGGATGATATTGATAAAAATCCTAAAACAAAGCAAACCTCAAAGATTATGGCAGCTAAATAGATGTAAACATTTGATAGGCTGCCATCAAAGTGTTTGTAAACCAGTATAAAGTACTGAAGTGTAAAATCATTAAGGTCCCCCGTCAGACACATGTCGAAGTGTGAGTTTGCATCACTTGGAGAGGTACTGTGACGGGTCGTTCTGTGGTGACTCTCGTCTTCAAATCAGAATTCTGACCATGCTGTCGTGGACAGTAACCTTAATACCTCACAATGTTATCTCTTTCTGATTACTTTCAGTTGTATTGGGTTGACAGCTTTGTTTAGTCATACATTGCAATCAAGGGGAGCATCTGCATGAGAAACTAATGTTAGTTATTCATGTCATTACTTCAGACCAGCAGCCCTGCGATGCTGTGTTGAGATCCTCAGATGTTCAATCAGGCTGTATACTTCTTTTCACTATGCTTCACTATCTCCTTACGTCTGTGACCAAATCAGAGAGACTATTAGCTTTGGAAATATTTTTGAGCTATGATATGTGTATATGGAGGAAATTATTTCAGTTTTTCTGTTGACAAATGCTATATTGGCTTTTTTTCTGTATATATTGAGGGCTTTTACAATTTTGTCTCTTGTACTATCTTTCATCATTTTTTTTTAGATACCATTTTCTAAAATTACCAATTATTCACAATGTATATTGTCTAAATTAATCTAGTCACCATTAGTCTATAAAGACTTCCCTGTATCATCACACTCTCATTGTAAAAGATATATGATCTGCTGCCTGTACATTGTATATAGTTGTAAAACAAACAAAAGCCGATCAAATTAAATAAAACCCACATGAAGATTAGCTAGGAAGTATAATTGTATGCATATATGTACAAAAAGAACCTTAAAAGGATGCAATTGAGCTGCATTTGATTTACAATTCTTCCTACTTCATTCATGATCGGATGTGTCATCTTTACTTCTTTTACAAAGATGGGAGGCTGTTTGTCGGGGTTCTATTGGATATTGAAATGAGGGAAGATCTATCGTAACAGATGTTGTCTGAATGATGTACTGTACTACTGAGAAACCTAAGCACAGTGTTGCACAGCAGCAGAAGTGGCACCTTTCTTCATCTGCTTCCCTCCCCCTAAACGCCTCCTGTATCCGCACCCTCCTGAGAAGAGGAGAAGGTTTCTTGTCTCGATGTAACTCTTTCTTTGGGTCTAATGTGTTTAGTGTTCTGCACTCTTGACTAGTCCAACTATCAAACTCCCCTCGACCTACAAAATATTTTGTGAACTGATGCCCTGTGGTTCTGGCATGAAAGCTGTCGTGGTTGCCTGGTAACCTTGTTGTCTGCCATGTCCAGCACTTTTTCTAAAAGCATTTTGTTTCAATAATGCCACTCTAGGAGAATTCTAACCTCACTGTGATTTATTTTCCCCAGTTTGGTCAGATTTCAATTCACGAGTTTTGTCTGAAAAGGAGCTGGTTGAAGTTGTATTATATGCTAAGTGGTTTCAGATGTGTATGTTGGAGCAGCAGTGTCCTTTCCATGTCTGGGTCTGAACAGTACCTGGCTTTCTCATGGCTTTTTTGTATTACTCTCTTCTCGTCTCGCTGATGTTATTTGCTTCTGTGTGACAGACCTTTCAGTTTTTCTTTGTACTCACTGCAGGAGGAGCTGTAACGCATCATGTCTGAGCCCTTATTTTAAATTCAACTTCACATGGCGGTTAATCATGACATGAGAGAGGAAGGCAATGGATTGTTGTTTTAATGTTACTACCTTTTTGATTTTGTGTTATTAGTGTGCTGCTTTACCAGCCCCAAAACAAGCCTGTGCTACAAGCTAAAAACCACAAGGGGGAGCTGTGCAAAACAGATGGAAAATGAAGTTTCATACATCTAATCCTGAATGTTTTGGTTGGTGTTGTTTGTATTGTCTTCTTCAACAAGTATGTATCCATGTTAATCACATCTGATCAGCTCTTTCAATGATACCGTAAATCCATGCAGTTTCTAAATGTACAAATGGAAATAATGAACCCAACATAAGTGCTTTGGACAATTGTAACTCAAAAGGAAGAAAAGAAACGGAAACAAATACCCATCAGCGGTGTGATCAGTGTGTGTGTGTGTGTGTGTGTGAGTGTGTGAATGATTGCGAAACAGAGAAAATAATCATGCTTGATAAGAGCGTGATAGCCTGCGACATGTCTTTTATCTAGATAGGACATGATTTTTGGCTGCAATTTCAACTTTCAGCTTCTGAGCTGCATGTGAAAACCAGTGTAAATAACGTCATTTCTACACTTGACCTGAGACTCTTTTTTGAAATGCAAGAAAAGTTTGAATTATAAAGTCTGTCACACCAGATTCATGGGTCAGTACTAACATGTACAATAGGAAGTTGTTCAAATAGTGCTCACAATGCTGTTATTGTTTTTAAGAATGATGAAAATGCACATCCGTCATTTGGATAATTGGATACCTAATTTTTTTTATGGCTTAATCTGTGTAAAGGGCTTGGGAGAGCATCTGTATTGCCACCCATGTTCACTTTCCCTGTTGAATCAAAAAAAGTGCATCCATTGTATTTTGAAAACAAAATCTGTTTGTTACTCCCCCGGCCTGTCCTGACTGTAAAACAATATGGTGTCTGATTTGTTGGGGGAGGGTGAAGGCATGAGGTTCACTTCTTTCAGTCAACGTTGACATGTTGAACTGAATCTCAGTTCCATGGCTTCAAGGTGAGTGTGTATGTCAGACTGAAAGTATGAAATGATGATTAAAGATGAAAAGTTGTAAACTATTAAATGGGATATTTTCAATTTATGCTGTGTATTCTTGTCTTTGGGTTGGAGAAAATGATCAAGCGAATAAAAAGTCAAATACAAAAACCAGTTTGTTTTCTTGGTTTCAGGGTGGACCATAGCTGTCTGATCTATTTAATTTAGTGCTGGGCTTATTAAGTTTTTTTTAATTATTATTAAGGAATGGGTTATTAGAATACATTTATGTTTTGCTGTGCCATTTATGCCAATGCAGCCATCTCTTAAAATGTTTAGGTTTTATAGACCATTACAAATCAAAAGAACCGGTATGCTCAGTGTTCGTACATTTTGTTGAAGATAATAATTACAGTTTGCTAAATTTCCCAGTTCAAATTAATAGGTTTATTTAGTCTTTGAAATTCATTATTCTGATATGTAGGCTATTCAATAAAGAAAACTCCTCTCACCCCTATAGGTTACAGTTATTGATTAGACCAGGCTATTATGTATCATAACATTAACATAAATATAGAAACAGATTATCCTTTTCTTTCACATTATACTGTAGGCATATAAACCATGTAATAAAAACATAAATTAAATTATTAAAGCTAAATTAACTAGATTTTAAGTACAGACAAATTGCAGGAAACCTCTTCCAGTTCACTTAATTCAGTGTACGTGCTGCAATATACATACATAACACATTTGCAATTAATTAATGACCACAACATAATGGCAATGAGTGAACCTTTGGGGCGCCTGAGGGCCTGGAGCCATTGTGGGCTACATCTTATCGGGTTTGAAGTCCACCTGTCTGTGATGAGTCCTCTACCTCTAGCCTGCATCTACAGATCAATGATCATCGGCCATTGTTCTTCTGCCTGGATGTCTTCAGTCATTTCTCCCAAATAATTGACGGCCACCTAACATGAAAATGAACACCCTTCAGAATGATGGTTGGCTGCCTGCAGTGTGAAACAAAGGTCAAATAATATACAATAAATTCATTGAATTACAAGTTTTTGTTAAAGTACAATTTAAAAATAATGTAATCATGCTAACTTTACTGTGTTTTAGCTCAATTAAAGCAACATGAATTAGCCTGTAGGCTACTATGTTAAAGTAGCTCAGCTCAGTTATGTACATTTTAGAATTAAACATGTTTCAATGTGTAAAGAACAAGCACATGAGATGAATGTTAGCCAACGGCTAAAGCATGGCATTGGAAAAGGCGCAAACTAGCAAAATATTAATTGTTTGTGTTCATGCTAATTTAGCAAGCTAGGTAGCATGCTAACTAGCTTAACGTTAGCTCTTACATTTGGCCTGAACAACTAATTTTAAATTATGACCTTCGTTTCAACAATGTGTGTAATGCAATTTACCCTTGATTTATGATTTGAAATGTTTAATTTATGGCTTTATTAATATTTAACATAATTGAATGTCACTAGCATCTAGTTTGAAGGTTTGATAAGATATTATGTTAATGAGTTGATATTGGTCCTGATGTTCCACAGTTATTTTCCAGAAGATAAGAGGTAGGCTAATAGAAACCTTATCCTTACAAACCGATTAACTCATTAATTTATATAAAAAAGTCTGGAGTTCGAAAAGGATTTCCCCCAACCTGGCAACCCAAACGTTATTTGTATTTATTGCATATAACAGACAATTTAACTTAATTAAGCATCAGTTAAGCCAAGTGAATGTATATTAAAAATCAATTTAAATTCATTAATGTAATTCTCTTTCTGTTTTGTTTATATAACTTGTTTTATTGATGTTTCTCACTCTTTATTTGTACACATTGTTATTGTTTTTTGTATATTATCTTGCTCTGCAAAGAAAAATAAGCTGGGCTTGCATTAAAGGTGATAAATAAAGTTATTATTCTTCATAGAAAATGGGAATGAGTATTGTTACATTAATGTTATAGATAGTGAAGCCCTATCATATCAGATATCGCTTATGATCACACGAGTACAGTCTAGTTAACATCGCGAGTACGAAACATAGACCGAAAGCACGCCCTCCAAGGGCATAACGTCATTTTTCGTTATGAATTGCATCGTGGTGAACGACTTGCCTTATGATTAATGTAATACGCCTCTGCCCTCAGAAACGGACCGTGGCTGCTGAATAATAAATACCCTGAACCCGCCCATTTAATGTTTATTGATCAGCTCTCCAGCAGGCCCATCTGACAGCAGTCAGATTCAGTCTGGATATGGCGTCGCTGCAACGACACGGGATGAATGTGCACCGCTCCGTGGGAATTTGTCAGTCGCGTACCGGGACGACACTTCTTGTTTTTTGTCGCTTTTAATAGGGATTATTCATGGCGATGGAGGACGAGGATAATAATTCAGCGGTCGTGGCGACTAACACCCAAACAGGCATCAAGAAAGGAGGTGATGTCGGAGATAACGGGGCTTGCATTGACAGGCAGCCGGACACGGTGCTCCACCGAGCGGGGCTGAATCAGACTGCAGGTCGCGGCAGCCGCAGTGGTCCCGGAGCTCATGCTGCGACGGGGATCCGGGTGCTAAAGGCAAGTCAAAACGACAGGATGTATTTACTTGTGATGCAGCAGGGCATTCAAACAAGGTGCTCGACAATTATGTCTATATTGTGTTACATGTCAAGGTTTTCTTACATTGCAGTTGGTGATTCAAACAGGGCAAAGTGCATGAGAATGAAAACGCATCCTTGTAATATTATGTAATGGCAGTGATACCCAGTGATTGATACTATCTAGTTACTGATTGATCTCTAGATTATTGCCACTCGTTGAGGAATGTACCAGAGCCAATTAACATCCACAACACACACACAGACACACAGACACACAGACACACACACACTCACTCTCAGTGTAGGTTGTTAGGGCTTTTATAGGAAGGCCCACTGCTGAACAGTTCTATGACATTTTAGGGCAAGACACATGATGTGTAATGACATAAAAGTCCCTGAGGTAGCTGCTTCACAAGGCAACGATACACACTACACACACACATACATACACACAATCTCAGCTTTGCTCTTCAATTAATGTGTATGCAATGTTGAGATTTCTCGTGTATCTAAAGGAAGAGCGTCACCCTGTTAATAAGCTCACTTAGCTTAAGTGAAATGTTAGAATATTTATTCGAACAGAGCCCATTGACCCGTAAAACAGTCATGCTATTGGAGTTTTGCTTTTGAGTATCAGTGAGAAAATGCACCCGGGTGTGTTAATTTAATCAGGGGTCACATCCAAATCCCACAGATACAGTAAGTGTTACAGTTACTTTCTGTATCATAATGAAATTACTAGCTTTAAAACTGAGCAAGGGTAAGGAGGTTCTGTTATTATTTTACTTATCTGTCCATTTCTCATTACATTTACAGTATATTTATCTTATCCTCTCTGACTTGACTGAACATGCATGTTCTATTCAGCCTCACATATCCTCACCTGGGAGCCGCCCCTGTGTTTGTAGTCACCTGGGTTTACCTCTGAGGTTTCCACAGCAGCAAGCAGTGGCTCAGTCCTCACCTTAGACACACCTTGATGGTAGCTTATGAGGAAAGGGTATATGTCTTCTTTCCCTGTGGCCATTCTTCATCAACAGGTGGGAAAATTAAACTAGCCTTTCTCTGTTTACATTCCCTGCTCTCTAACCTCTGGAATAATCAATCCACTACATGCAGGACCTATTTAGGAGTGAAAGTGAACGTTTATTATTGACCTTGAAAATAGAAGTTTAACAAAATAATCTTAGGTAAGGTTCCATTTACTAGCTTAAGCCGAGTATACTTAATTTGTAGAACAAGACCATGACATGCAGTTGTTTGTTGTTAAATCCAGGTGTGTGTGTGTGTGTGTGTGTGTGTGTGTGTGTGTGTGTGTGTGTGTGTGTGTGTGTGTGTGTGTGTGTGTGTGTGTGTGTGTGTGTGTGTGTGTGTGTGTGTGTGTGTGTGTGTGTGTGTTGTGTGTGTGTGTGTGTGTGTGTGTGTGTGTGTGTGTGTGTGTGTGTGTGTGTGTGTGTCGTGTGTGTGTGTGTGTGTGTGTGTGTGGTGTGTGTGTGTGTGTGTGCTGTGTGTGTGTGATGTGTGTGTGTGTGTGTGTGTGTGTGTGTGTGTGTGTGTGGTGTGTGTGTGTGTGTGTGTGTGTGTGTGTGTGTGTGTGTGTGTGTGTGTGTGTGTGTGTGTGTGTGTGTGTGTGTGTGTGTGTGTGTGTGTGTGTGTGTGTGTGTGTGTGTGTGTGTGTGTGTGTGTGTGTGTGTGTGTGTGTGTGTGTGTGTGTGTGTGTGTGTGTGTGTTCTCCAGACCAGTATCAACCCCCCATTACTGCAGCCACAGTAGCTGGTACAGCAGACCTTTCCTTTACTCACCAAACTACTCTTTCTTCTGACATTTTCCAGAGAGACCCAATTATTTTGAGGTGTTCTTCCTTCACAATCAGCAGAGAATTGCTCAAAGGCCATCTGAATAGCACCAATGAATGAGGCCCAGATAAAAACATTGGTGACACCTTTGAATCACCAAACTAGATGAATCTTCTGGGGTCAAGGTGCATAATTTACAAACTGTGAGTGTGTGCATGCGTGTGTATAATGCAAAGACGACATGCGGAGTCATGGTAGTGATTGGATATCCTTTCAAGAGAGGCTGACTTTAATTTTTAGCACAATATTATTCCTTATTAATGTCAAATTCTGATATTTTAGCATTGCATCATTTAGAGGAGCAAACAACAACATGATATTCTGGTACCTGTTCGTAACGCAGTCGCAAAGTCCATCCTCAGCGAGAAAGGTACTCCACTGGTTGCAAAAAGAAGTGTTATGGTATAGTTTCAAGCCTTTTTTATACAGCATTATGTTCATTCAATTTCAGATAAGTTTTTATGTTTGTCTCATTTGTAGGCTCTTTACATTTTAAGTTCCAGTACTGACACAAAAAGCCCTAAAACCATTTTTTGATGAGAATTTATAGATACTTGACACGTTTACAGTTTGCATCTACCAGCACAGATGTTGCGTTTAGGTAGACCCATAGCACCTTTAAGTA